GTGAAACTGTAGCCGGGATGAGGGCAGCGTTATACACTGATGACACCAAGCTGCATAAAAACGTCAGCTCCGTCAGCGATTATCTGTCTCTACAGACCACTCCGAGCAAACGTGAATGACTGGTCATAGGGAAATAACATCAACTTCAACACCTAGAAATGCACAACGCTCACTGTGACGCGGATGAAAACTCCTTTGATTTACGAATACATCCTAAACAACACACAACTTGTGCGAGTGTCCGCGGAAAACGATCTAGGAGTTACAATTACGGGTACGTTGTCTTGGTACTCTCATATATACACCATCACCGCCAGAGACAACAGGCTCCTTGGGCTCCTAAAGCGGACATGTCCATTACTAACTGACGTGTCTACCCGGCGCGCGCCATACTTATCGCTAGTCAAGTCACAACTCTGCTACGCTACTCAAGTCTGGTCGCCCGCTCAGGTTTCCCTGAAGGCACAAGTCGAGCGAGTGCAGCGGCGCGCTACCAAATGGATCTTACAAACCCGGATTGGCGAGATGTCTTGCAGAGACAGACTTATTACCCTGGACTTACTCCCTCCTACCTACGACAGAGAACTGAAAGACTTGATATTCTTTTATAAGTGCTTATTTAATCATATTCACCTTGATGTATGCATTTGTTTCAATTCCTGCCATTTGAATTAACAACTTTTTTAACAACTTTATTTGGTTTATAACATAGTACTAACTACACCTCTAGCTTGTAGCACGAGCAAGTTCTAACTAGTGTCTACGTGCAGGGCTAGTCAATGTCAAAGGACGTTCTCAGGCAGTCAAAAAGTGTTTTTTTGACGAAAAGCTGGAAGGAGAGCGGACTCGAAAAACTAGAAGAAGGAGCAATAGAACAAGAGTAATTCCAAAGTTTCACAATGCCATTTAAGTAGGAGGCCTGAAAGGGGCTCGTTTCACAGATTGGTGTTTTTTAAATTAAAGGAGTCTACAACGGCCGTGAGAAATAAAGTTTGTGAAACTACGTACCTGTTCTTTCGAATTCAGTTCACAAATTGCCTTTATCACGTGTTTATTTCTTTGATAACACACTTTTACAAAGAGTGAAAGAGAGAATGCCGTCAATGAGGGAACGCAGAACTATCATTGGTATACGAGTAATTAAAAAAACTATTGTGGTCAGTTAAACATGTAACAAGTTGTACTTATTCTGCAGCAATCCAATATGAACGAGTTCGCGTACGATTAGTTACACCTTTTCCAACATAAACATGAAATGCACACCGTGAATCTTTTGTTATAATAACAAGATACAAAAGAACAAAAATAGTCGTACAAAATCTAGGTAATCACTCAGTTTTGACACAAAGCTGTATTTACTTAGTAATTTCTCTGTGGCCTAATACAGTGTGAATTAGAAATCATGAATCACTAGTCATCTTTTCTCGCGTTTTTCATCCATTAAAGAGAAAGCTCAAAAGTCTGATTGGACATGAGATCTAACGGGTAACTTTTTGAACTTTTTGAAGAACATTCTTTTATCATTAAGAGCGGAATTAAAAGGTAGCAGAAGTGAAGCCTTCAAAAATTTCACTGGACAGGATAGCCCTATCTTATGTGTATTTTACAAATCAATGCCTCTTAGGTGCGCTATTTTAGCCGCAATCTGTGCTGTAGACTTCGCAGCTATGTTTAAAGACATGTCCATAACAGCAGGAGACTTAGCCACGAAATCATACAAATCACGCAAATTTTTTGAATTTTATAGCATCACGTCCCGGCAAACCATCAAACAAAGCGTTTCAATGTTTCTCCATGGTCCACAATCCACCTCTGCATTTTGACTTATCATGAACTTTGATCCCTTTTTCCTCTTATATGGAGAGACGGTCGCCCTATTTCGCTTCTTTCGTCTTGGGGATTTTCCCGGGTCAGCTCGAGCTTGAACAATGTTTCCACAATGAAAGCATCTGCAGACTTCGGTGCATCCTATGCCACCCGCTACACACGGACACTTCGACTTGCGGAGACTGTCTTGACACGACTTGTGACTTGCATTTGGTTCTCCGTCCCCTTTGCTCTTTTGTCCAACTCCGCACCTACAGCCTCTCTTCAGACTCTTTTTTACCTTCACAACTTCATTGGAATTGCACGTATTTTTGCAATTGTAACATCTACACGAGCGGGTACAAGAGTGGTTCACTTTGTGGCACGGGCATTTACCAGAAACACAGAAAATATCTGAAACTGACTTATTTTTCTTGTTTTTACCGCAAGTGCATCTTGTTTCCTTCGCTTGTTCGTCACAGTCATTCTCACTTAAAACTTCTGAAACGATGAAACCATGTCAAGAATTAATGCAATGGTTTTCGACAAGGTTTCGACAAGTTAAAGGTCATTAGTATATACTAAAGCAGTGGACAGCGTTGAAGGTGCGCTCTGACTGGCTACTCAAACTCTGAATATCCTTTGCTATTTACCTCCGAGCAACTCGCGAGTTTCACGATGCCGCACGTACAGG